TGTTAGTATTAATTTTGTTGTACCCCATAAATTTTGGCACATCATATTTTCATTTTAATTTGTCTTCAGGTATTTTTTTAATTGCTTTGATTTCATCATTGACTCAATAGGTGTTCCATAGCATTTTGTTTAATCTCCATATACTTGTGGCTTTTCCTGTTTTCTTCTTGTGGTTGATTTCTAGTTACATATTGTGGTCAGAAAATGTACTTGTATTTATATAAACTTTTTAAGTTTTTTGAGACATGTTTTGGGGTCTAATATGTGATTGAACCAGGAGAATGTCGCAAGTGATTTGAAAACAATGTGCATTCTCTAATTTTTGGATGGAATGTTCTGTATACATCTACTAAGTACATCTGATCTAATGCGTCATTTAAGGCCAATGTTTCCTTATTGATCTTCTGTTAGGATGATTTATCCATTGATGTAAGTGGAGATTTAAATTGTCCTATTATTATTGTGTTACACTTTCGCATTTTATGTGTGTTAATAATTGTTTTATATATTTAGGTTCTCCTATGTTGGGTAAATAGATATTTACAGGTGTTACGTTGTCTTGTTGGATTCTTCCTTTTGTTATTATGTAGTGTCCTTCTTTGTCTCTTGTTATAATTTTTGTTTTAAAGCCTATATTTTATGAAAGAAATATTGCTACCTCACTTTTTTTTATTCAATTTGCACCGAGTATCTTTTTCCAACCCCTCACTTTCAGTTTGTGAGGGTCTTTAGGTCTAAAGGATATTTCTTGTATGCAGTATGAATATATATATATATATATATATATATATATATATGATTCTTATGTGTTTTTATCCATTCACCTATGCTATGTCTTTTGATTGCAGCATTTAGTCTATTGTCATTTAAAGTAGTTATTTGTAACTATGTACTTATTGTCATTTTGTTCCTTTTTCATTGGTGTTGTAGTAGTTCTTCACTTTTCCTTTTTTCTTCTCTTGCTCACTTCCCTTGTGATTTGATGGCTTTCTTTAGAAATATCTTTGGGTTCTTTTCTCTTTATTTTTTGTGTATTTATTACAGGTTTCTGGCTTCTTATTACTGTGAGGTTCGTATATAATAACCCATGTAAGTAACAATCTATATTAAGTTGATGATCTCTTAAGTTTGACCTCTTACTAAAAGCCCTACACTGTTACTCTTCTTCCCCAACGTGTTGTGTTTTTGATATCATATTTAACCTCATTTTTGTATATATGTATCCCTTAACCTCTTTTCATGGAGATAGATATTTTTAATACTTTTTTAATTTGACATTCATACTAGCTTTATAGTTGGTTGGTCCACTACATTTGCTGTATATTTGCCTTAACTAGTGATTTTTTATTTGATATTTTTCTTATCCCTGTGTATCGTTTTTTCTTTCCACTTAAATAAGAGCCTTTAACGTTTCCTGTAAGCCTATTTCAGTGGTGATAATTCCTGCAGCTTTTGCTTTCCTGGAAAACTCTTTATCTCTCCTTGCATTCTGAATGACATCTTTACTGGGCAGAAATTTCTTGGTGATAGTTTTTTTCCTTGTGTCAGTTTGAATATATCATGCCACTCCCTTCTAGCCTGTAAGGTTTCTGCAGAGATGTCAATTGATAGCCTTATGGAGTTTCCTTTGTATGAACCTGTTGCCTTTCTCCTGTAGCTTTTAGGATTCTCTCTTTATTTTTAATTCTTGATATTTTAATTATAATGTATCTGGGTGTGGGCTTCTTTGGGTTCATTTTGTTTGGTGTTCTCTGTGCTTCCTGTATCTGGATGTGTGTTTCTGTCCTCCAGCTAGGGACGTTTTCATCTATCATTTCTTCAAATAGGGTCTCTGCCCCTTTGTTTCTCTCTTCTCCTTCTGGGTCACCTATAATAAGGATTTTATTGTACTTGATGTTGTCCAAAATGTTCCTTAGACTGTCCTCATTCTTTTTAGTTCTTTTTTATGTTCATCTTGAGTGATTCCCTCTACTCTTTCATCCAGATCACTCATCCATTCTTCTGTGGCATCTACTCCACTGTTGCATACCTCCAGTGACTTTTTCATTTCTATTATTGTTCTCTTCAGTTGTGATTCATTCTTTTTTACATTTTCCATTTCTTTTTTTAAGTTGTCACTCTCTTCCTCTATTTTTCTCCCAAGATCAGTGAGCACCCTTATGACTGTTATTCTGTACTCTTTCTCAGGTAGATTGCTTTCTCTGTTTGTTTACTTCTTTTTCTGAGGATACGTTTTGTTCCCTTATTTGAAATATATTCCTTTGTCTCCTCTTTTTGCCAACTTCTTTCTGCTTATATCTATGTATTAGGTAGGCCAGCTATTTCTCCTGATCTTGGAAATGTGGCTTTCTGTAACAGAGGCCTTATGGGGTGTGGCAATATTATTCCCTCTCTTCACCTTTGTCAAATATTCCAGGAGTCTTCCCTCTGTGAGATATTCATGCCCTTCTGTTGCCATGGGGTTGCTCTTGCTGTGGGCACAAGGGTAGGCTAGGTGCGCTTGCCCCCATGCCAGCTTGTTATAAAGCTCAGCAATATGCAGCTGCTATGCTCATTTTATTAATTGGCACAAGACCCAGCATGGCTGACTGCAAGGTCTAATAGCATGCAACTACTGCTGTTTTGCTGTTAATTGAGTCAGGAGCCTAGTGTGACTGGCTGCTAGGCTTGAGGATTCACAATTACTGCAGGCCTCCATTGTGGCTCCCTACAGAGCACAGCTATTGTTACTTCTCTCAGGGGAGCAGATGGATGGGGCCAACCCCAGGTGTGGCAGCATGCAATCTTTTCAGGCATTGAAAGGCAGGTCAGATTCCCTGTGTGGCTGTTTGACATGGCCAACAGCACAAGTCTTCTGTGGCCAAAATGCCTCACTGCCTATGAGCCTACACACCCTGCCAACACAGGCCACTCCATGTAAATACCCACCCACCTTGCTGCAGAGGCCCCCCACACACCAGCTGTGTGGGCCCACAAGTTTGCTGTGGCCTGCTGGTGGGCATGGCCAGACACTTGGGTGGGGTGCCTGGCCTAACTCTGCTGTCTTGAATTAGTGCTCTAATGGGTGAGGCAAACCCATGAACTCACCAGCTAGAGGAAGGAATTCAATGGCATCTGCCAGCATCTGTGTCTGTATAAGTGAACTAGGTCACAATAATGGCTGCCACCATTTTCTTGGTCCCTGGGGTGAATGGGGCCCGCAGCCTCTCATGTCTCTGATATAAACTCAGAACTTATAAAGTGAATCTCTTTCACCAAAAGACTATTCACTTTTCTTAAATTTTGTGTTGGTTCCAAAAGTGGGTGAATTTGTGCATGCGACCTTTAAGAGCAGGTTTTTCTTTCTGTGAAGTTTGATAGTTTTCCTGGGGGGTATTCCCCATTGGTTTTCAAAGCCAGTAAAGCAAGCTATTATAGAATCTCATCATGGTTGTGCTGAATCTTAACACTGCAATTCCTATTGTGGCATAGATCCCCAGCTCAGATATCCCACTCCTCTGGGAAAAGATGTGTACCTTTGAGATTGCTCCTAACCATGAAGTGCTACAGGTAGGATGTACTTTTTTTCCTCAGTAAGGGATATGTCTGCATCTTCCACCATGTCAGTGTTGTCCCTTGTTGTGAGGGTTCTTTTTATCCAGTTTCAGGATCTCTCTCAGAGGAAATTTTTCTATAGTAGTTATAGATTTGTTGTGTCCATGGGACAAGGTGAGTTCAGAGTCCTCCTATGCCACCATCTTCCCAGAATCTATGCTAATGTTGATCTTGATATAAGACGATTAGCCTGGATCATCTGGGTTTGACTAATGTAATCACAGGGTCCTCTAAATGTGGAAAGAGAGAAAGAAACATTGGAGTCTGGTAGACATTTGACAATGTTATGTAGCTGGATTTGAAGATCGAGGAAGTGCCATGAGCCAAGGAATGCAGGTGGCTACTGGTGAAAGAGGAAGTGAAATAGGAAAGGGAATGCATTCTGTCCTGTAGGATCCAGAAGGATCACAGTCATGCACACATCTTGATTTTAGCACAAGGAGGCCCATTTTAGTCATCTGACCATCTAGAATTTTTAAATAGAAATTTGTTCGTTTGAAGCCACTAGAGTGGTAATTTGGTACTGCACAATACGAATCTAATACAGACATTTTCCCGTGAAATATTGTCTGTAGGAACTGATTTAAATTCATTCAGAGACCTTTCCTTGTGTAAAGGACGTTTGTGTTGAAAACCCACCTTATGTAAAAGAAGAAATTTAAAGTCAATTTAAGACATATTTGGCCCTGTAATCTGGTAGAGTTTCCTATTGTAAAAATGTAAATGTGGTTCTGATATTGAGGCCTTTGAGAATTTAATATAGAAAAAGTAATTCCTTATTAAAGTTAAAGTCACCCATTCTACTTTAAATATTTGTGTCAAAATTTCTTCATTATTTCTGTTCTATGTTAATGCAAATGCTCATTCTTTTCATTTCTATCCCCTCCAACTTTCCCTAAGATTTTCTTTCAACATAATAGATGGGATTTAAGTGAGTTTAGGTGTGTGTACATATACAAGTGTGTATTTCTATGTAAATGTGTAAAAATACATTCATGCATATACATACACATTCTCCTAACCTTGAACATTTTCCTTGCACTCAACAGAGTATTTCTACATCTTTTATTTATTCTTCATAACACTCATCTGAAGTTAGAGTAAATGATCTCACATTAATTTCAGAGATAAGGAAATTGAGGCTCAGGTGAGTAAATTTTGTAATGATGACCTGACAAAACAGTTAAAACATATTATACACATTTTGGAGGCTGACCCTATGGCCCAGTCCTTAAGTTTGTGTGCTCCACTTTGGTGACCTGGAGTTTCCCCAGTTCAGATCCTGGGCACGGAAAATATTACCACCCCCTCAAGCCATGCTGAGGTGGTGTCCCACATACCACAACCCAGAGACACGCAGAACTAGAATACACAGCTATGTACTGAGGGGCTTTAGGGAGAAGAAGGAAAAAAAAGAAGATTGGTAACAGATGTTAGGTCAGGTGTCAATCTTTAAAGAAAAACATGTTGTACACCTTTTTGAATTATACATAAATGGAACCATGTAGTATATACTCTTAATTCTTATATGGTCCTTTGATTTTTTAAAAAATGTATGATTTGAATATGTGAAGTTTATTTTATGTAATTAAACTTCAGTGCATTAGTTAAGAATTAAAAATTTTTGGTGGTGCATGGCTCAAAGAAGGATTTAGAGCACATGTAGCTGAATCACACCTAAAGTGGTGGGAAATATGTCTTCTAACTTGGATGAAGTCAAAGTGTCATATATGAATATGAGAACAGTGGAATTAAAATAAGTAATTAACGTTTGATAAACCCTTTTTTTCCATAAGCTAAAGACTGATCTTCACATATAAAAGGAGGAAACTTAACTAAAATTGTTCATGACAGACGAGCACTACAATTGCACACATTATGTATTCACCCAAGATCCACAGTATAGAGACTGACAGCTGACAATAGGTCCATTAGTGGGTGACCACAGCTCAGAACAACTCTCCTCAATATAACCCAACTTGATAACAAGTGCATTATATTAATCCTTTTGCTTTTAGAATGACTTGTTATGCAGCAACAGCTGATACAATAGCCAAAGTGAACAGAACCGAAGGAAATTATAATAATCTGTCACTTCTCATTCTAGGCATTTGTTCTGATATTTGAAGATATCATTCATGATTACTCTGTTATTCAAGATTACTTCATCTAACTCTATTAAAAATTGACTCCATTGAGGGTCCTAACAGAGAACCAAAGAATTTGAAATGATGTGCGCGTTTGTGCAAAACTTGTGTGACTCTGATTCATAGGACTGGACAAGAATTCAAGCTCTCTAGTGAGTCATCCTTTGAACATTTATATACAATATATAATAATTAGCATATATTATATTATATAGAGAGCATATAATGGATGATATTGATATTGTCCATTCAGTACACTTTTAGTGATTTTGACAAAATTTAGAAAAGGGGGAGATATTCATTTAGAGCAATGGAAGTAATCATATCTGTAGGCAGTAATGGAGGTTCTCAAGCATAAGTAAGAAGGTAATTCAATAGAAAATATAATTACACCAAACAATCCTCCACTTCAATGATAAACTACTTTACACATGGACATCAATCTTAGCTACATTAATTAGCAAATGTAAGCCACAAAAAGTAGTTTGCATAGTCATACATTTATAACTTAAAATTTTGCCTTATCATAATTAACATCCTCTCTGACTCTATCATCATATTAATTTAAATTATTTATTGAAATGTATGTTTCTGCAAAGACTACAATTGGAGACGTATTTAATTATCAGTTTTATGTGACTATGTTAGCCAATGTGGACACCAAGTTAAATAAGAGAACAGTACCCTGTTGTTGGAATGACATCCAATGACCTATTATAACACACTACATATTAAAGTCTACATTTTCAAGAAGAACAGCTAAATAGAAGGAATAAATTCTCCTGTCACGATCTGATCAAAGAATCACAATATCTGGCTCTGATGTTTTAAGCCTTGCTATCACGTGCATCTGTCCAAGGACAATAGGTTATTTTATAATTTCCTTCTCAAAGAATATTTTCAGAGCCCTTTTTATGTTTTTATTCCTCAAAGTGTAGACGAAAGGGTTCAACAAGGGTGTGATCACAGTGCACATCACTGAAGCTATTGCATTTGAGTTTGAGCTGTGGGTAGCAGGAGAGCTAAGGTACAATCCTAGGTTAGTACAATAAAATAAGGAGGCAACTGAGAAGTGAAATGCACATGTGGAAAATGCTTTATGCTTCCCCTGAGCTCATGAGATTCCACATACTGAAAAAACTGTTTAGAGCAAGAATAAATTATACCAGCGAGGAGACCACCATCCAGCAGCCCAGTTCACGTTATTAAGAAAGATGTCAGAACAGACAAGTTAGACCACCTGTTTGATTTCACGCAAAAGGGGAAGGATTTCCATGTCCATACACAAGGATAGTCGCAACACCATTAAGCATTGTAACAAGGAATGAAAACTACTCATGATCCAGGACACCAGAAAGTCCACAAAGTTGTTGTTTCATGAGGACCATGTAGTGCAGTGGATAGCAAATGGTAAAAAATTGGTCATAGGCTATCACAGTCAAAATGAGGTGGTTCAATCCTTCAACGAGTAAGAAAAATACATCTGAGTGGTGCAGCCTGGATAGGTCATGACTTTGTTTTCTGTCTCTATAGTCACAAGCATCTTTGTGATGGTGATGGAGTTGAAACAAATGTCTACAATGGAGAGGTTGGAGAGTAAGAAGTACACAGGTGTTTGAAGATGTGATGAGATGACTTGGATGAGGTGTAGGCAAATGGCTCAGATGATGAGCAGATTTCCAAATGCATTGATCAGGTACGTGGAGAAGGAAAGCCCAAATATGAGGTACTGAAATTTTGGTTTCTCTGAAAATCCCAGAAGAAGAAATTCTGAAACTCCTGTAAGTTTCCTTGATTCCATATGTTGGAGGTGACTACCAGTACAGAGAAAAAAATGAGTAATTTTCACACAAGCGAGCATTGATAACCTAGCATAAATGCTACTGTTTATATTTTAGAGTCAAGAAATTCATTTTAATATATGTGTATGGATGGGTCACCTTTTGGAAACACCTAGCACCGTTTCTCATTAGAAATTTCTTTTCCACTCTCAGACTGTTCCTCAAGCATAATGCATACCATGTTTTATTAAGAATACATTTTATTTATTTGAAGAATTCACAATGAGTGTTGACAATCTACCAGGCACTGTATAGGCAATGAACATAGGGTTATGGAAAACAAAAAGTCCCTATAATCCAATGATGTAGAAAAAAATATAAGCAAATAAAATATTTTAACAATCATGTCATACAGTGACAGGAGCTATGAAGAGTAATCAAGCAGGTTTAAAGGAGAGAGAGGATGGGGTGTTATTTTTTACTGGAAGTTCAGGCAAGACTTGCAGAGAAAGTGACATTTGAACAGAGAAGTCAAGGAAGATAGCTGAGAGATTGATGTTATCCAGGGAAGTGTGTGCCCTGCAGGGGGAACAGCCATTGCAAAGGCCCAAAGGAAGGTGCTTGTTTCAGACAGTCAAATCTCAAAAGGAAACCAGTGTGTCAAGGACAATAAACAAGGAAGGCAGTGATGAGAGACAGTGTCAGAGAAGCTTGAGGAATGAAGAGAATGCCCTATTTCAGCTGAAACTACAGGACACAGGGATCCCCCACCCACAAACTGTTTGTAGGTCTTTGTTCATTTTGTTATAATGGCGTCCCTTGAATTGAAATTGACAACCCCCTTTAGTTACTTCTGTTGATTGAGTTCTGGCCTCTAAATTATGAGTCACCTTGGGATACATGAGCTCAGAAACCCAGCTCTGAGGACTGCTCTCACTCAACAAAGAGCACACACACATGCACATGTGCACATACATGCACACACCACAAATACAGTGGCCTCCTGGGTCACTTAATACCTTGCCTTTCTTGCCCCCAGTCACACTAATTCAGCCAGTAGTGGATACGCCTCAAGGTGCCCAGATCGTGTTATCTTTCCCCTAAAGAATGTAAAAATGGTACCAGAAATTCAAGTTGGTAAGCTTCCTATGGACAGATCGACTTGGGGATCCCTATTGGCATACTCATTTTCCACCTTACTTTACAGAAACATAAGCCATCTGTTCAATAAAGACAGAGAAGAGAGAAATGAAGTGAACATGAGGAGAAAAAGATCTAATATCTCAGATGATCCCTGAGAGACCATGAGAAAGTAAAGGCATCCCTGTTCTGCTGGCATTCCAATTCTCATTATATCCCTTGATGTCCAGCAGAAAATAAGAGAACAAAAACAGTGTTCAAAAGGCAAAAGTACTGACATCTTTATATTGTGAAACACATTATGATTGAACTCTTCAAGCACAAAATGAACAAAAGGAAAACATGAACATATCACAAAAGGAAATATAAAAAGTACAACAAAAGTTGGGCTTTTAAAAAAATATTTATTTATTTATTTTTGAGGAAGATTAGCCCTGAGTTAACATCAGCCACCCATCCTCCTCTTTTTGCTGAGGAAGATTGGCCCTGAGCTGACATCCGTGCCCATCTTCCACAATTTTATGTGGGATGCCTGCCACAGCATGGCTTGACAAGTGGTGTGTAGGTCCACACACGGGATCCAAACCAGTGAATCTCAGGTTACCAAAATGCAACATGTGAACTTAACCACTGCAGCACTGGGCCGGCCCCAAAAGTTGGGCTTTTTAAATATCAAAGAGTAGAAGAATTGTGTTTCCTGGGTCTGTTCCATATTTATTTGACAGTTTTTTTTAATATAGTATGATAACATAGGAGGCAAGCCCTCCTATTTTTCCTTTGTTATCCTTAGACTTTGGGTTTGATCTCTTCTTTGACAAGTCCAATGGGCACATCCTAGTGTTGGTTCTGGTCTTTATCCAACATGCAAACTCCTTCCCAGACTGTACTCCTACCCCAGATCACTTTATTCATATGACTTCTTCTATGGGGATACTATGTCATACACACATTTTTTATTGTACTCTGTACTTTGCCATATAATGAAATTAGCAATGGAACAGGGACTTACCTGCATTGTTCACCTTTGTTTTTCCAAAAGTATGTGAATATACGTGCAGTTATATAGAAACAAATTTAAGCAAGTGAGAAGTTATGAAATAAAAAGAATGGAAAAGAGCATGAAACCAGTTAAGTAGGCTGATTTCATAGAATGGTGTGAAACAAATTTGAATGGGACATCAAAAAATAACTAAAATATGATATACAATAACAGTAAATGAATAACATCAACATGGAATCATAATTGAATTAGCAAAGACCTGGACATAAGAGAATATAGCATTAAATCTATCTAGAACTTTCTGGCATATGGCGTATATTTAATTATTATTTGTTGACTGAATCAGGAGTTAAGTTTCAGTAGATATGGACATTTACTATATGGAAAGGCTGTATTTCAACTTAGTTGGTAAAAACTGGATCGTTGAATAAAATCTAGCATAAATGGCAATCTGGAAGAAAGTTTAGTGGTTCTTTATATCACACATCTTTAAAGACCAGAGAGATTAAAATCTCCAATGTAAACAGTACATTTTAGATGAACATACAAAATCTACATATCAAATCTAATAGTGGACAAAACTGTCAAAATTAAGGTGGGAAAATCAGAAATAAGAACATAGATATATTGAAAAATGTAAAACTTAAAATTATTTTGTGGTAAAAAATATCAACCCAAAAGTCGTATGAGTAGAAATAATTTGTAAAATATATTTGAAATGTAGCTGTGTAAAAATAAGCTTAAAATATATGGACACATAGTAATAATAGGCAAATGTCTTGGTGATCAAATATATGAGTCTTTGTTCAAACAATGAAATAATTGAAAAATACAAGAAAAGATCTCTTCCACACCCATCCGCCTGTGGGAAGATCTCTCATGTTGATTGGAGTTAGAACTTTTAAACAGGTAGCAAAAGAGGTACTCTCTAATTTTGCTGAAAGAAACGTGAAGTCTTACAATGTTGGGGAAATCATCTGAAGACAGCTATAAATATTAAAAATATGGATATTCTTTAACTCAGGGTTTCTTACACTTAGCATTATTGACATTCTGTGCAGATCATTCTCTGTGAAGGGCTCTGTCCTGTGCATTGCAGGGTGTTCAGCAGCATCCTTGGACTCTACCCCTCCTCAATGTGACAGCCAAAAATATCTCAAGATATTGTTCAGTGTGCCCTGGGAACAAAATTGCCACAGATAGACATGCACAGTTTTGACCTAACAACCCCCAAATATTTTTGTGGCAGTAATAGCAATTTTTTGAGAAAGAATATGAAACACCACCAAATGTGTAGTACAGCCACACCAGGAATCTTACACAGCCTTTGAACTAATGAGTCATTATTATATTAGTTGATTGGAGGCATGTCTGTGAAGCATTATTGAAAAAGAAGAAAAAGTATGCACAAGGTAGAAAAAAGGTCTGCACTAAAACATAAAAAGCATCAATGATGTGAGTAGGGCTCTATTCACCATCTGTAGAAAGTGTATTCATATGTATTTGTGCACAATATAGAAAGATAAATTTTTTAAAAAGCTAAGAATTTATGGAACAAACAAGGGCAGTGAAAATAAAGTTAGGTTAAGAATATTGTTTTCTAAACAACTATATGTAAAAAACTTGAAGGAAAATGTACAATTAATTTATAAAACTACATAAAAGAGTAATAATTTAATGATGCTAATCACTAATTAGTGCCTAAGTCACTAATCCAAGATGAAATTCCCAAAGACTTGGACAGAAAAGAATGTAACAGAAGGACTTTAAAATAGGAGAAGCAGCAGTATCTAAGGTAGAATTTCATGTTGTATAAAGATACATGAATTCAAATATGCTTAAAAATACAAAGGTGATGTTTAGTCAAATGGTAAAGAGCAATACCTCCCAAATGATGGCCCACATAATGGGACTTTTAGAACTAGATCTATGGGGCCGACCAGTGGGGCAGCGGTTAAGTTTGCACGTTCCATGTCTCGGCGGCCTGGGGTTTGCCGGCCCAGATCCTGGGTGCAGACATGGCACTGCTTGGCACGCCATGCTGTGGTAGGCGTCCCATGTATAAAGTAAAGGAAGATAGGCACAATGTTAGCTCAGGGCCAGGCTTCCTCAGCAAAAAATAGGAGGACTGGCAGTAGTTAGCTCAGAGCTAATCTTCCTCAAAAAAAAAAAAAGGGCACTAGATCTAGTCACAAAAGGTCAAAAGATAGAATAAGGAGTAATGGAGATGTGAAAACAAATTGGAAACATGTATAAAAGGTGATATATTACCACTGGATGCAGGAAAATTTTCAATTTTAGTTTTGTTTGTAACAAAGATCCACAAGTGAAGAATATTAAAGTGACTGCTCAGGTTTTCGGTAAGAATAATAAAAGAAAAAAAGCAATGGAGAGCATACTGATAGATTCGACTACACCGAATTTGTAAACTCTCACACATTCCCCACAAATGCATCGGTACATACATAAAAGTACAAAATGGTAGTCATTTTGTGTATAATTCAAGAAAGTGCACAATAAATTTTAATGACTTTTTAATGAAATTGTTACTAATTTAATCTCCCTCAGATCCAGCTTCCTTGTTTCTGAAAATAATTTGGGAAAGCAAATGTAACATCAGACAAATGTTGCAACAAATAAGTAAAATGTGTGGCCATATACTGTTGAGTCCAAAGAAAATGATCAAAAGTAAAACTCACGTGTATGTATATGTGTGTACACATTTTTATTTCAAATAAGTATACTCACACACATATAGGTACACAAGCACAAACTCATGTTTTATGTTGGAAGGAAACAAGAGAAAATTGAAGAGGATAGAAATGAAAAGAAGAAATGTTTGAATTAACATGATAATTAAAAGAATGTGGAAATTTAAACAGAAAGATTTAAATTTAGGGGCCAGCCCCGTGGCTGAATGGTTAAGTTCATTCACTCCACTTCGGTGGCCCAAGGTTTCACCAGTTCCAATCCTGGGCGTGGACAGGGCCCCACTCCTCAGGCCATGCAGGGGTGACATCCCACATAGCACAACCAGCAGGACCACAACTACGATATACAACTATGTACTGGGGGGCTTGGGGAGGAAAAAAATGAAAAGAAGATTGGCAATGGATGTTATCTCAGGTGCCAATCTTTAAAAAACAGATTTAAATTTAGACGAATTTAAATTATGAATTATTTTTCTATTCTTAACATCTCAAAGGTGTCAAAATCTGAAACAAATTTACATTTATGCAATGAGAAATTTTCTACCATATAAAGTGGGTGAATATCTCCACAGTGATTTCAGATTTCTTCTTCTACTTTAGGTTGAATTACAACAGAAAATGCCTTTACCCAGGCAAAACTAAATGAAGGATTTGAGAAGCTTAATCTGTCTCTGGAACAAGATTTTATTGGATAATTGTATCTGTTAAATTCCTAATGTGTCCTTACCCTCCCATCTCATCACCAGTGGCCCATGGCATCCTAACCCACCTCTCTCATCAACAGGGTTAGGCTTAGAGTTAGGGCTAAGGCTAGGGCTATGGCTAGAGCTACAGATAAGGGTAGGGTGCCCACAGCACAGCATCCTAACCTTCGCATCCCATCATCAGGTTCCCAGGGCGTCCTAACCCTCCTGTCTCATCATCAGTCAGGTTACAGGTTCATTATATATTATACTCACCTTAAATCCAAACCTGAAAATACATAACCATGCCCATGTCCAAATGCAAATCTAAATGTAAACCTACACCTGTACCTACGTTTGTATCTATCTAAATGTACACCCATGTCTATCTACCTGAAAGGCAGACGGCTTCATTTGGGGGAATCTCTCCCAAGGACAGCTGTCAAATGAGATTTTCAGGTAGTGCACGTGGGTCCAAGTTGTGGCCCATTACTTGTGTTCTGTATAACAGTTGAGGTGAAATTTAAGAGCAAAATGCTGCAAATATCTTGACGTTCCTCTAAAGCTGTATTCCCTGGGAACCTTCCTCATGCACGCTGGGCATACTTGGAAGTTCCTCTTCCTACGTAATGATCAGAAAGCAGTAACTTGCCACACCTGACTCAGGAGAAGCAGGGAAAGAGTGGACCTCCAGAGAGGCAGACAAATTCCATGGTTGGAATAAAACACCCTGGTCCCCCAGAATGTTTTGACACGACCACCATCATAAAGCAAAATAAATGAAATAAAAATAAGACCACTACTAAGATACTGAGCTTTCAGTAACTGCACAGAGAGGGACAGACGGATCTTTTAGAACCCAAAGGAGGGGAATCGCAGACGCTGGATTTGGGAAAGGAAACACACTGTGGGGATGCAGCATTGCTCCCCTGGGAAAACTAGTAGGACAAGCAGAGGCTCATGGTCATGTGGGGCCTGACATTTACCTAATGAACACATGGTGGGTCTGCTCCCTGAAAGGACTCACGTGGGGTTGAATTGTCTTTCCATTGTGCTGTTTCATTTTGAAGCTAGAGTTTAGACTGCTGAGGTGTTGTCACCTTCATCTGACCTGAGGTCACCAGTTGAGTGTGGCTCAGGGGATGTGGTTGGCTCGCCCCACCAGCCTTTGCCACTCCTGGGCTGTGCCAACCTACTGCAGCCACACAGTGGGCTAAGTGATGGTGAAGAGACAAGGAGGAGTCCACGCTGTCCAGTGATCTGAGGTTCCCCTGAAATTTCCAGGAGTACTGGCTACCCGCGAGCTGAATTTCAAATTTTTGTATGACTCAAAGAAACAAACCAGTTCTCAAAAACACCATTGACCACAGTTTGAATCACCATTGACAAAACTAGGCACCAAAATGAACATGCAAATTTGATGCCACATCTGAATCTAAATAAGTGAACCGGAACACCCCCAAAACCATTATTGCATTTGTTACCTCTTACCTTTTTGTCTGGAAGCAATCTCAAGCTTAGAGAAGATTTAAAGAGAGTAGAAAGAATTCCAGGGCACCTCACCCAAATTCTTTGTCAGCAAATGAGGTGAGGAGAGATGGTTTGGCATTTAGGTAGACAACCACTTTAACTTAAGGTGCAGACAACACGTCCCCTCACCCCTAAAACTTCAGAGCGTATTTCCTAAGAAGAGAGACATTGTTTTCTGGAGCCACACACAGTACCAACCTCAGAAAACTCAACATTCACACACTTCCTTTCTCTAATCCACTATCGACACCAAGTGCCCTTCACATCGTGTTTTTCTCCCTCGGAGGATCAAGCCCAGGATCTCGTGCTGCCCTGAGCTTCCGTCTCCCTTCATTCTTCAGTCTGGAAGAGGTCCTCAGTCTGTTTCTTTCATGACATTTCCACTTTTGTAGAACAAAATACTCTTCCAGTTTTTCATAGAATGTTCCTCCTTTGTGCCAGATGTTTCCTTATAATTGGATTCCGGTTATCCTTTCCATAAAGAATACCGTGTCCTTCCCACAGCACCACCTCTGGACACTCCAACCTCTGCCCTCTCTATCCCGTGTCTTCTCCACTAGATGGTGGGCATTTCCCTCGGCACCAATAACCCCGGGCTGGTGTCCCCCGTCTGTCCCCACCCTGGCACCCCCACTCAGGAGCAACAAGGCTATGCGAGTTGCTGTCCCACCACAGGTGACTCTTGATATTTTTACTATTTCATTGTTTTTAAACTGTGTGGTTGTGTCACCCATTCAAAAATTAAAGAAAAGGAGCCAGTTGTCAGGGCTCAAAGCAAATAACACATACTCTCTCAAGAACACAGAGGTTTGCTGTCTGGGAACCAATGATGTCAGGCACCGTGGGAGACACATGTATGTGTTTTAAGTGGCAACATTTGGAGAGAGCCAACCACACACCACCAGAGTGGTATCTGAGGACGGTAACCATTGCTGCAAAATCACTCTTTCTCCTCAACTGCAATTGTGCAATTAAAGTATTTGTTAATGAATAGTATTTCCTGCTTTTAGTTAATAACATAAAAAAGAGAATCATGAGTAGACTGGATAGAGAAAATAACGAGCTATTTTATGTTTCTTTCCCCTGTTTACTTTTAAAATAATTTTGAGATGAATTGGAAACTTTAAAGACACCAGGCAGCACATATAACTGAACAGACCTTTTATCTTGCTTCTGTATTTTTAATCTATAATGTAAGAGTGGCAAATATCCAGTCAACCCTCTTGAGATGTTAGGAATTTTGGTTGAGAATTAGGGAAAAGCAAACAAAAGAAGAAGAAGAAGAAGAAAGAAAAAGATGATGTGATTTGCATGCATTAATAATGGTTGACCTGTTTCTACCCTGAAAATAACTCAAAAATGATAAACTGAGCTAGCATCTACTTAGTATGTTATCACCTCCTTTAAAGAATCAAACATGCTTAGAAACCAGTGCCCCCTGATACTCAAGGACCTGCAGGTGGTTGACGGACCTCAGACAGGAATGAGGACAAGCAGCCGCCTCAGGCTGTGAGAGCTGACATCACCATTTCTTCTCCTCCTCTCTGTTTATCCTCTTTCTGTGTGCCCCCACCTTCTCCCTTCTCATTGCGGGAGGGAACACAGCTGCATGTCACTGACGTCTTAACTGGGAGTCGCAACCCTAGGAGATCTTGACAGACTCTCTGCGCGTAGATTTATATATCTGAAAGTGTCGCCATTTCTCCCCGAATCGTCTCTCTGTCGCTGTCGGAAGTCAGCCGCCACTCTCTGTGGGGGGTCTGTCTGTGGACCTTCAATTCTCTTTTGCCCTGTGTGTCTACCCACTTGCCGATACCACACATACAGATTCTTGTAGCTTTATCCTAAGTTTTGAAATCAGGTAGGGTCAGTCTTGCTTCCTTCTTCTTTTTGAAAATCATTTTGGCTTTTCCAGGTTCTTTGCTTTGTTGTATAAATTTAGGTGAACTTGTCAATTTCTACAAGAAAATCCTACTCTTATGTTTATGGTGATTGTGCTGAGTCCATACATCAATTTGGGGAGAATTGATGTCTTCAATGTATGGCGACTTTCAATCCGTGAACAAAATATTTTTTCCCTTTATTTAGGTTTTCTTTGTTATCCCTTAGCAGTATTTTGCAGTTTTTGGCATACAGATCTTATACATACTTTTATTAACATTTATACCTAAGTATTTCAAGGTATTTTTGGTACTATTGAAAATCATAAGCTTAAATTTCAATTTCACATTGTTCGTTGATACCATATAGAATTACAGTTAATTTTTCTATCTCCACTTTGTATCCTGAAAACTTGCCAGAATCACTTGTTAGTTCTACCGCTAATTTAGTATTTCCAACCTAGACAATCATGTTGTCTGCAAGTATAGATAATTTTGATTTTCCCCTTCCAATCTGAATGCCTGCTATTCCTTTTCCTTGCCGTGTTGTACTGGCTAGAACCTCTTGGTACAATTCTCGGTAGGAAGAGTGAGACAGATGTCCTTTGTGGTCCTGGTTTTACACCACAGCACATGAGGTCAGCTGTGGGACTTCATGGATGCCCTTCCTCAGGTTAAGAAACTTCCCTTTTCTTTCTAGTTTGCATGTTTTTGTCATAAATGGATATTGATTTTTTCAAATGCTTTTTCTTTACATTTCAAAATAGCCACGTTATTTTTCTTCTTTAATCTATTAATATGATGAATTAAAAAACAACCCTACATTCTCAGTATGAACCTCACTTGGTCATAGGTTTCTTATATATTATCAGGTTTTGTTTAATAATATTTCATTAAAGATTTTGCAATTGTCTTTATGAGGACATATGTCTGTAATTTTCTTATAAGGTGTTTGTCTGTTTTGTTTGTTTGTTTTTAATCAGGGTAATTCCGGCCCCATAAGTTATTTGGAAGCGTTCCTGTCTCTTCTGTTTTCTGGAAGAATTTCTCAAGCACTGATTTTCTTTCTTCTATGATTATTTATTAGAATTTTCCAGTGAAACCAGATTGACCATGAGCATCTTAGTTGAAAGGATTTTAAGTACAAACTCAGTTCCTCTAACAGATATGAGAGATGTTTCTTTGTAAGTGGACTTTGGAAAGTTTTGTCTTTCAGGGAATTTGTATGTTTTGTCTAAATCACCACATGTATTGGCATAAAGTTTTCATAATATAAACTTACTGTCCTTTAAATGTCCATAGTATGTACAGTTGCCAGACTTAGTATAATAATAATAATAATAATAATTGAACTTCAGATACAAAAACAAGTACTTTGTCAGTGTGGGTTTGTCCCATATGTATTGTAATTTGAAGTTAAAATTTACCTGGGTGTGCCCTATTTCATCTGAAAACCGCTGTTAAGACATCTAGTAAAACCTCTTCTTTCAATCTTGATATTGTTAATTTGTCCCTTCTCTCGTATATTTTCATTATCAGTCTGGCTAGACATTTTTCAGCTCTATGGATCTTTATAAAAAAATCAGCTTTCTGTTTCACTGATTTTCTCTAGTACCTTTCTGTATCAATTTAATTGATTTCTGTTCTTCTCTCTGTTAACTTCTTCTTTCTGGTACTTTGGCTTTAATTTCTTCTCTTCTACTAGTGCAGAGAGTGGAATCTTCAAGAACTGATTTTGCAAGTTTTCCACTGTAAGCAGTGGGTGCAGACATGGTCCTCTGAGCAGCGAGGCACCTGTGTCCTCAGTTTTCCTCCTCTGAGATGCTCTCTATTGCCTCTCACTTCCTCTTTGACTCATGGATTATTGAGAACAGGGTCATTTAATTTTGAAACATTTGAGGATTTTACAGATATCTTTCTGTTACCAGTTTCTAGTTTAATTCCATCCTGATTAGAGAACATACTTGGTATGATTTCAACTTTGTAAAATTTGCTGTGTTTTGTTTTATGGCATTGAAGGTGGTGTATCCTGGGGGTAGATCCC